AGGATGTCCCATGTGCGCAGAAACTCACTTGGACTTTGACGGTGCACTGAGCAGGGCAAATAGATTAGATTGGTTCATCAATGCCTACCCATTTGGTCAATTCTCAAGTGAAGCTCCGGGTGTGTTTTTAGTGAGGTTTTGTAAATGTTTGCGGTACAAAGTATATTTAAACTTCTAAAAAATAGAAAACAAGTAAGTCGGTATCTGTTAATTGGTCCTATGGAGTAACTTCAAAACAAACCGACCTCATTCATCTGAGGTATCGGCAAAGTTGTCAACTTACTGCGGCACATATCNCTTACTGCGGCACATATCGATTCATTCAGAAATTGAAACTCTTTGGATCTTTTGTCACCGTATTCATTCACCCATTTCAATGGGTTTTTCTTCTGGAATGCCACTCCAAGGACTTTGTACTCTAGAGCGTACGTTCGGAACAGTTCGGGTTAGCAGTTCGAATGGTGGTGAGGTTGGTAAAAGGGTGGAGCAAACCAGGGATAAATACGAAGGATGAAATTAGTCCATGATGGATAGGTTTAACAATCATGATTATGTTAAATCATATAATTAGTCAATATTAGAAGGCTAATTGTCCATCTAGGTGAACAAATAAATTTATTTAGGAATTAATGTAAATTGTTCAAATTATTGAAGAAAATTTAAGTAACAATCGACTCACTGATAATATCAGCATTATTCAGATCTGGAAATCAGATGGAGAAGTTCAATTATGGGACATCAGTGGTCTTTAGCAAGAACACAGATTAAAATTCTTGTATCACCATGACCGAGTTGAACACAGCACGCAAGATCATAACACCGGCTCGTTAGTAAAACGGATAAAGTGTTTTGTATTTTTCATCGGAACGACAAGCCACGATCGACAGGGAGGTAGCAAAAGCATGTTGTTCCATGTTATTCCATTGAGAACCGATTAGGAGGTTAATCTTTCAAACACACGAGCGTTGTATGAACACGACCTTCGTATTGCAGATAGTCCGTACATCACAGCCTCGGCTTGTATAACGGCTCAAATATGGGATGCTAGTTTTTCTTATCGGTGTGACGACTTCTACAAGTTAGTGCCACATAAAACCGTTCAGTAAGTGACACGTGTAACAAATGGGCATTGTTTGACAAATATGTTTCAAATCATCCAATGCTAATTACGGAACAGAAAAAATGTTCCCATTCTCCATTCAATCATACGGGAATTGGAAATAAAATAAACTTGTGCACCCGTCAAAAAATGAACACAGTCGACAGCCATTTTTTAATTTCACGTTCCATTTGAATTTGAACTGGTGTGCTGGAAGAATCTGTTAAATAGTTAAAAACTATCCATCTTTACCATATTGAGTTTCAGATTTTTGGTCCGCTGGAATGTGGAATTGAAGCAACGTGGACACACCTTTCACTGCCACTATTTTCGGGAGCTCGTTGTAATTTTTCTCACATGTATACCTCTTGTTGCTTATGTTACACAGTGCGCGAAACAAACAGGAAAGTACGAATTTAGTTTTGTTGAGATCAAAATAAACGCTCGAGCAGCGTACGCAGGACTAAAACACCTGTGGCGGCTACGTGACGTGTCACTAAAGTTGAAAAGTCGCGCATACTGCGCCACTGTACGATCAGTTCTGTTTCACGGTTGTGAGACCTTGAATTTGCGTTGCCTAGTGGTTTTCGACAATCGGTCTGGCCCAAGTGGGATGGAATGAGCGGGTTAGTAACCGAGAAGTATGTCGTTGGATATTTTGGAATGCATCGAACACGAACTCGCTAGCGCATCGTATCCAGCTCAATAGGCTTCGCTGGTTAAGACAAGTTTTGCGTATGTCCGACGTTGGCTTACCGCAGCGCACCTTGTTTACAGTGGCTGTTACAGGTTGGAGAAAGCCACGTGGAAGCCAGCAGATGACGTGGAGACGCGGCATGAAGAAATGCACAGAGCGATTAGGTTCAGTCTTCCGGGTTGGGGTCCAAAAGACTCCGAAACCGCATGGTTGTAGACAATGAAGGTTATGGCTGCAAACCGACAGCAATGGTGATCATGCTGTCACTTCTTATCAGTCCAGAATGCTTGAACTAGTATGTATGCACAGTTGGGTTGTGTACTCTTTGTGTTGACCATAGAGGTTCGCTTTCTTTTCCCGTCCCTAAAAAATAGGCCCAATTCCTGTCCTCCTTATACATTCTCACTTATCTTGTATGCCTTATGAGTTTGGCAGTAATCAGTGGAATTCGCTTCATTGAATTACGCTGTACAATGATGATGATGGTGATGTGTTTGTGGCGGCAGCAACGCGTCTGTCGGCCGGAGTGTAAAGTAGCACATTTAACTTGTACTGAGTATTTCCACACACACATACATGAAAAAATATTTTACCAATTTCAAATTTTCATCATTTCATAGTTCAAGTTTATACATCTATCTGTCTATCAACAGAAAGATATACTCACATTAATTGAAGCCAATACCACATGGGCAAATGGATCCCTGTGTTTCTTTGTCTTCTCATCAACGGGATCGGTGTTCATAGTTGTTTCAGCCGTTCCATCACTGCCGAGACGTGCATTTTATACACCATCTGCATGTATGCAGCTAATTTCAAAGAACATTTCTTATCTAGAGTATCAAGCTGGGATTAGGCCATTCGATTTTTCACATGCACCAGACACTCGTGATGGTCTCTGGTGTGGGTTTCACCCCTTGGGAGATCGTTCATTTCCTATGAAGTAAATGCATTCAAATGCGATGGTAATGCTTGTGATGACCAACGAAGTGCACCAGACAGACGATCAAGAATGTCTGGTGTCTCTAAACATTCGAACGAGCTAATACAAGCTTGATACTCTCAATTAATTGAGCCATTCGCACTTTGGCAGTAGGCAGCTTTACTTTCGTCCGGTTCAATATCACGCCTAGCGGGGCCTAATGTGGTTCGGCACTCCAAGTCCCGGGGCTCAGCTTATCGGTTTCCATCACTGAAAAGGCAGGTCCTCGTCACTATGGGGTTCGCCCCGTCTGCTGTTCATCACACGAAAGTGTATGATAAAAAGTTGACGATTGTCGACCGTGTAGCTCAGGGGTAAGGGTTTGAAGTCCCTACCCGAATGTTCGCGGTTCGAGTCCTAACAGGAACACAAAATGTACGCACTGCTGACGAGTCCCAAACAGGACGAAACAGCTGTCAAGTGCTCATTATCGGTCATCATAAACACTTTCATTGCATCTGAATATTTCTTATCATTTGAATGCCTACTATCGCTTGCGTAGTGCGCCAAACAGAGCAGAAGTTCTGCTAAGAATCTCGTTAGAATCATCAGCTAAACGGGGAGTGATTTGATAAATACTTCTTTTGTCTTATGATTATTTCATCAACCGCGCTTTTCATCCCCGTGTCTTCCTCGACTGATAACACAAGCGAATTTTAGCTTCTGTGCTCACGAACTGTATTGTTATCCATCTGTCAACAACTATTGCCGATCAAGGAAAAAACCCCGCCCAAGGTTTCGGGTCCATGATATGGGCAGCACTCCCCCAGGCTTACGGTTATGTCCAGCATTGAGAAAAAAACGGAAAGCTGATATATTGTGTTATGATGTTATTTAAATCACTCCTGTACACGTTTATTCTTTGACAGAGTTTCATAGAAAGCTGAAATTCGGTGCTGTGAGGACTAGCGTAATGCGGTAGGGTTTAAGGGATTAGGGTGCTAACGTGAGAGGAAAAGAGTTGGACAGAATTGGGTGATGGTGCGTGAGGGGTAAACCGTTCTTTCACAGCACTCAGTATTAGTCACATAATTGTTGTGTTGTTTGAAGACTACGGCGTCGGTAATTGAAACTCACGTATTTAGAACCAAACGCTTACCTGATCTGATTGGATTGTTCAGATCCATCTGCTTGATTCGTCGTTTCGATTACAGTAAGTCCAAAGGTACATGTTGTCAATCAATAAATTAATCAACCAGTCAATCTATCAATCATTCAGTCAGTCACGGATACGATTGCGGTAATCCTGAATAGACCATATACGCTTATTCGCAATCAATTTCTGAGAGCCTTAAAACTGTCCACATTATTGGCCACAAGCTGGATTCCACAACTCATGTTCCACCCAGCAGCCAAGAGCGAACATGACCGTGACCGTTTCGTATTTCTAACGACTGATTATATATTCCGCCACCTCATGCTTTCAAGCACAGCTCTCCATTCCCTTACCTAAATTCGCACTGAATCCATCATTTAGGTTTCATTTTACCAATTACCGAATCACAGTGAGTAAGAGTGTTTACAGCTTTGACTAATAATCCACTCAACCGGTATAGTTTCAAATGCAAATATTTTGAGAATTTAGCTACATTATATCCTTACCTTGCTATTCTTCTTTGTTTCAGTGAAAACTATAGTTTGAAACGCTGCCACACCAGGCGACGGGAGATAGTCATTTTTGGATTACTTTTCAATGGTTAGTGTTTTAAACTTCCTCAATCAACTCATAGAATTTCACGTGGAAGACTTTCCTCGGTCTGGTTTTACCCTGTACATCTTGTCTAATCAAATTCTGTATTATATAACTGCAATTTTCTAACCCTTACCATTAACGTTTATGTGAAGTTCTTTTGAAATTAACTGCTTATTGATTCACTTTTATGTTTACTCTAGAGGGGATAGAAATACAATATATTCTGTCTGGATTTTCGCATCAGCTGCAGGTAAATGAGTACTCCGGATCCAACAATTATGTATAATTTTTTGAAATTGGCATGCGTTGATCATAACATTTGATCAATTGATCCGCTGATGCACTTGGTTACGTCACATGAACCAAACGGGAGCGAGACTGCCCTGAACCATATATCTCAGATAACTATTGATCGGAACAATGCAGCGATGACCGAGTCCAAGGTCATTTTTTCATCGTTTTTGAAGGAAGTGACAGAGAAAAACTTCAAACCCAAATGCTCTCGTTGTATTATCTCTGTATCACTCACCATCGGTTTTGTCAGGGTATTTATCTGGAATTCAATTAGGATGAAATCAATAAGTTTCAAATTTGCTCAAAGAAAAAATGTTACAGAAAAAACATAATCTGAGGGTGGTGATTTTCCCTTCCCTGAGTTGTGTTTGTAAATGCCATGTTACCTCAATTTCATATCTTAATTCGAACACTGGTTATCGATCTCCATGGAAACTATTCTACTGGTTGCGATGCGCGACTTGGGAGTGGATTGATTGTGGGCTATTCGGATGCCCCTCATGGAGTGCGGTTTGTGCACACCGCCCCGCTGCCTGGCGGGTCAGGATTTGGCTAGCCGAAGGCTCAGGTCGTGAATTCCTCAAGAAAAATCACCTGTCTCGGTCTGGATAACCTGGCAGTATCCAGCCCACATGCAAATCGTGGAACGTTTTACTTTTTTTATAAATATTCAAGTTCCACGATTTGTATATATCAAACGTATCAGGATTGGATTGGGATGTATTGTGCTTTATTTGCATGTTGAATGAAAGTGTTCACAACTAACACGATTGCAACTTACCATGAAAATCATTCAAATTTAATTAGTTCTTTTGAATAAAAAAAGTAACACAATATGAGCAGAATTGATATTGGCCATCAATTTCACGTGCTCTCAATCAGCTGTCTACGCACATTAAATAGGTCACATATGGATATTTACGAATACACGGGGTCAAGCAGAAGGCACTGGGTGGTTAAGTCATTCCCGAAGTCATTCGGGAATGGGTGAAAGAGGAGGAGGGGAATGTTAGCATAGAAACAGTTAAGTAATGGAAAACGATTAGTAGTGGTGGAAAGAGAGTTAGACATGGTTACGTAATACGAAAGATACCCAAATGACTTTGGTAATGACTCAACCACTCAGTGCCTTCTGCTTGATCCCATGTAGTTCTAAATGTTCATATATGGTATTCTTATGGTAAAAAATTTGACCTATTTAATGTGCGTGGACAGCTGATTGAGAGCACACGAAATTGATGGCTAATATCAATTCTGCTCATATGGTGTTACTTGTTTTATTCAAATGGATCAAAGAGAAAGGATGTTTCCGTTAATTAGTTCTGTTCTTGATGACTATGGGGGTAAATGATGAAGTAAACACTAAGTCCATTTAATTATGTCTTGGTACATGACACGTAAAGGTGTACTTTTTCAAGGAATCAAATAACTTTTATTCGTTCATGATAGGTGTAATTGTACATTTTCCTAGACATAAGCCACTCCCACATCTTTGTTTCCTATGGGACTCGTCTCAGCAGCAAGCGAACAATTTTGCGTCCCTCTCGAGACTCAAACCGAAAGCCTGCGAATAATGTATGAATTTACCATCGGCATTCAATAGAGGAAAGTCCATCGGAGCCGGGCGCTTTGTGCCCTCCCAAGGCTTGGATTTCATTACGGATTTCCATTTTAGAAGGTGGGTGTGTTCTAACGGACCATGGGACGTGTGCCGGAATAGTTGTGTAAGAAGCTGACACTGGTTGCCAGCTAAACTGTGCTTTGAAGTGCTCCGTCCACCGTGCAAGGTATCGCTGTTGATTGCGAATGGGAGAGCCGTCAGCTTCGCAGATCGTTTTGCTCACACCTAAGGCTTTCCTACCGGTGACCCGGATGAGATGGAATGGCTTACGGGCATTACAGATGGCGGCAGCAAGTTCCATCACTGACGCGCGTTGAGCCCACAAGATCTCGCGGTCTCTGCGTAGACTTGCATTAATTTCGCGTCTCGTTACGAGCCGTGTTTCATTATGCTCGCTGCCGGTCGGGAGTGATCTGCGTGCGTCAAGAAGACGTAGAAACTCCGCAGAGATCCAGTACGTATAATGTAACAATTTCCAACTGGTCCGTTTGATCTGACATACCAAACACTGTGTATGGATTAACGGTGTATTCAAAGACACTTTCGGGATTCAAGCGCTACGCGCATCCAGTACAATCAAAGGTTCGTCGTTTGAATCCGTTCAGGAGCAAAACAGACACTGTAGTTGCCCAAAAGCCATTAAAAAACGTTAAAAAGAGATCGACACATACACACAATGAAGTCATATGCGTTACATGTTTTGCATTAAACCAAAAGTGTTCTAATTTCACAGTGGTTTCAGTGCTAATCTATCCACCTGATTGGTCTCCAGTACCCATTTGAATTGTTCGGGTTTCGTGTCTTGTTGATACAGTGAGTGGAAACGAATACACGTACCCGAAGACTAAGCACATTCATGGTTCTTTTGACCAACAGTGAACCTGTCAACGGGCAGCGCATAACATCCTGTGCGACTCACACGTAGGGAAAGAAAACAAATGTATGCGGACCGAGAGGCTAGTGCTTACAAAAATAACCATACCTTTCCAAGCGACCGAGCATCGCCGACATGCAACCCTGAATTGGTATTAAAAAACATTGTTTGAGCCTCAATAAGTCCTGTAGAAAAGCCTTCCTGAAGCACAACAAACATTAGAAAAACTTACACTACATCACAATCCGTCTTATGCGTGTGTGATATCTCAATAGGTCGTGCCACACAGGACTAAGTGGTGTGCAATCAACCTTAGTCTCAGTACTGCGTATCTCGTTGTTCGTAATCCACAATTTGGTTTAAGTAATATCCAGTCACTCACCAGTCACAGATAACAGTTCCCCATAGTAGGAAATCTTCCCGTATTGCGGTTCGAGCGGTACTGTAGCTTTCAAATAAGACAGGAATGCTTGAGAGTGCGGCATGACACCACACTCCATGAGATGCGTTTTGTTCAGTCCAATTGTGGTTTGTGCGATTACGGAACCGGGTTTGGCCCAATCCACAGTGCAGCTGTTATACGCTCGGACTAGCATGATGTCCTTGTACAGACCCCAACGCACCTAAACCGAACCACAAATAGTTTGCGCGATTAGTAAACAGCATTACCAAATTCAAATTCAAATTCAAATTTTGATAATGGGAAAAACTTACAAAGACTTCGTTTACCAAATCCCATAGGGTGTTTACACTTTGGGTTGGGAACAAGACTCACAAGATCACAGTTGGTTCATGTAAGTAAAATAGCAATGTAATGTTTTCGACGAGCACAGGAGGAAATATCATGTAGTTGGGTGTTTAAACATAAGGTTTGCTAGAGCATCATCAAGCTGACGCTTGAAAAATACTAATGTTGGGGCACAGACCGCGAGAGGTGGTAGAGAGTCTCATGTGCTGCACACTCTGACTGCAAACGGATGGCGTCTGCAGTCGGGACGGCTCTTTTAGAGTGCCAACTTCATTGGATGCCCTCTAAGATGAGCATTGGTTGATAGAACCAAAAGAGATTTACATGAATGGTTGGGTTGTTGGGAAATCCAATACAGACCTCTGATTTGACGATATTTAGACGAGTAAAGCCCCATTAGCTGTAATCTTTCGCCGTAGGTTTTAGAATGTAGACCTTTGACCATCTTGGTAGCCATTTTCTGCGGATGTTCGAGCGCCTTCCGATATCGCTGTAGCCATCCAGATCTGAATTAAGTTTTCGGTGTATGGACTGATATATGTGGCTAACAGACTTGGAAAGAAAGCCGACTCAAACGATCTAAAAAGACGTTTGAGCAGTCCAACCTGTTTTACCACCATGGATGATGCGCCGGAACAGTTTGTGGAGCAACTCAAGTCTGTGCGAATGACTACTCCCAGATTCTTCTTGGATGAACCAAGAAGCAGAGTTTCGTGTCCGAGTGTCGGAAAAACGACCGCTGTGACATAGTGGTAAGACTTTGCATTTAGTAGCGTTACCAAACGTTATCAAACAGGTGGTACACACAGACGAAATGAGTGTGAAGTTTACTGATTATCACTGAAGAATAAAATTTCAAAAGAACCAATGTGTTTCATTTTCGAATCGGGGAAATGTCACACCTTCACGTGTAATGTGAAACCTTGAGAAAAATCTGTTAAATGAGAAAAATACTTGTTCGCATGTGAGTGAGCGGAAAAGCATAATATTTTCAAAGCACTTATGAAAAACTCCAGGTGATGAATCTGATAGACACGTTTATAGTTGATCCATGAATATTGTATTGATGAGTTTAGCAAAACACTTTCTTCCAGTATGATATATATTATTCTGTCAATCATGAATGACAACAGTTTTCATCGGTCCCGAAAATATGACTGTTTTCAATAGAAAACGTTGAACGTGAAAAAGTTGGATGGAATTATTTCTTTTATAGTGCGTACTACCATTCGGTTTCACCGAGGCAATCCGTAGAAGGTTTTATCATATGATTGAAACACACTGCGCGACCGGCCTAGTCGACAGTGCGTCTACTCGGAGTACTGTCAATAATTCGAAAGCATGTAGACTAATCTGAACGCGTCCAAGGCTGTGTGCATCTTCCATCACATTTATAGCGTTATCTGATTCGGCCTACCGCCCTCATAATTACATTTCTCAGATAAATGAGAGTGACAAATCACATGAGGATATAAATATTAGGTCTTTTTATTCCATTTACCAACATTTTTGAACGATCCAATTACCCTTCTGTGTACGTACCACCACCACCACCACGACCAACAAAAACGACAGCAAGAACCACGCCGCCGCCACCAGACATTACTGTGGTGATCTTATCTTATGGGTTGACGCCAATCGCGGGGTGAGACGTTACAGTTTCTGGACAACTGTGATAAATCAAGCTGCTCAGGTGACGTCAGTAAAGTTGATACACGCTACAACTTCTGGACTATACACCACAGGCCGATTGTGCCGACCAATCAGAAGCCTTGCGGCCCAAACAAAAGCCGTACGACACCAAGAGTGGTTGGTAGATGCTTGGAAAACCAATAAACTTCTTTGTACATATTATTCAATCCCCTTGGTTTCTTCCAATGAACGAACCAATATTCCTGTGACTTTGCCCTTGCGTCTCGGTTACGTGGGATAACGCCGTGCCTGTGTCAGTGTGATTCAGTNGCGTCCTGGCACGTGATTCATAATCAGTTATCCGTGAGTACTTCAACTATTATAATTACCTCTCCTCCCATGAAAGCATTTTCAGTTCAATAGTTTTCAGGTTGCTCTCTATCTTCTATTTACCATATTAAGCTGTTCAAGTGAATGAATCGCATCATCATTCAACGAATATTCTTTTCACTTATTAGTCTTCGGTATGGATAAGAAGGATCAAACAAGAGCATTAATTACCGTTTCGCATATGCAGTCACGCATGTAACGAAATTCGTCAGATGATTTATTCGCAAAACTGTCTGACCAAGGAATCGGTTTTGTACTCTCATACACAACACCACGAATTTCGTATTCTGGTCGACGGGTGAGCAGGGAGAGGGGAAAACAGAAAAAACAGTTGCATAGTGAAACTGCATGTTGCTGATGAAAAGTCAATTCAGGTGTAACCATCGACTAAAGAGTGCATTTCACTTGTATCCGTTAAATTATTTTACCCGGTCGAATCGCTGGAACACTGACTGAACATTACTGAATAGAGCGATTTACTTTTAGGACGTTTAGTTGTTACATTTGTTTAATAATTTGTTGGCCAATACTGAACGGTTTGTGCTGTGGCCTACAAATGCCTTACACGTTTGTCGTGCATGCCTGTGGCCGGATTGATTGATCGATTGATTGACATATGCTGTCATCGGGTTCACACGCACACACTCACTCTATGCGAACTGACTCTATTACATGATGGATCGATCCCAGCCAATCGGGTGTTAGTATTGAATTTCCCACGCTGATTGATTCGTTAACTATTCGAATGCCTGGTCGGCCGCACACGGATGTCGTG